GCAGTTGCCTTGATCTTGTACTCTCTATCCACCAGAACTATGAGAGAAATAAATGCTTGGTTTTTAGAAATGAAATAACGTTTTTAGGGACAGGGTCTTGCCATATTGCCCAGGCTGCCCTTAAACTCATGGGCTCAAGCAGTACTCCTGCCTCAGCCTCCTGAGTAGCTGGGACTATAGGTGGGAACCACTGCACCCAGCTTAAATGCTTATTGAAACCACCCAGTCTATGGAGTTTTTGTTATAGCTGCCCAACTGTCTATACCAACAGACTGTGACTGTTTGTATATTAGAACAAGGAATTCTAATGGAACTCCTTGGAGCCTTGAAACCAGGAGTAAGTTTAGGACAAGCTAAAGATACACTGTTTAACTTGGTAAAGAATTATGGCAGAAATTTTCCCTTGTGGTAACACTCTTAGTGGTGTTTATCTCACTCATTCATTTGGTAAGTATTTATTGAGACTCTCTTTGTTCCAGGGACAGTGTAGATTTGTCTTGAATCCATTGGTGAAGATAGGACAAAAATCCCTGACTTCATGGAGGGAGAGAGAGAATAAACATGGAACATAATTATTTAATTAAGGGTAATAAAAGGATAAGTATACAAAAAAAAAAAAAGCAGGATAAGAGAGATTAGGAATGTGGGGGTGGGGGTCATACCATCTTTACTAGGATAGTTAAAGTACACCTCCTTGAGGAGTATTTTAAAGGTGAGATGATTTTTTTTTTTTTTCTTTTTTTTTTTTTTTGAGACAGACTCTCGCTCTGTTGCCCAGGCTGGAGTGCAGTGGCGCGATCTCGGCTCACTGCAAGCTCCGCCTCCTGGGTTCAAGCTCCGCCTCCTGGGTTCACGCCATTCTCCTGCCTCAGCCTCCCGAGTAGCTGGGACTATAGGTGTCCACCACCACACCCAGCTAATTTTTGTGTATTTTTAGTAGAGACAGGGTTTCACCATGTTAGCCAGGATGGTCTCCATCTCCTGACCTCGTGATCCGCCTGCCTCGGCCTCCCAAAGTGCTGGGATTACAGGCGTGAGCCACCACACCTGGCCATGGTGAGATGATTTCTGTATGTGAATTCCGTCCACTTCTGTTTTTTTTTTTTTTTTGAGAGGGAGTTTGGCTCTTGTTGTCCAGGCTGGAGTGTGGTGGCATGATCTTGGCTCACTGCAACCCTGCTTCCCAGGTTCATGCGATTCTCCTGCCTCAGCCTCCTGAGGAGCTGGGATTACGGGCGCCCACAACCACACCTGGCTAATTTTTTGTATTTGTAGTAGAGACGGGATTTTATCACATTGGCCAGGCTGGTCTCGAACTCCTGACCTCAGGTGATCCACCCGCCTCGGCCTCCCCAAGTGCAGGGATTATAGGCCTGAGCCACCACGCCCAGCCTCATTTTAGTTTCTCAGTAAGTCTTCGGACTGCTTATGCAGTTTCTGAATTGTCTCCAGTGTTTGAGGTAGACGTCAGCCTGAACCTCTCCAGGCCTGTTGTGATAGTGGCTCTCCCATAAAGCAGGCCATCTTGTTCTATTCTACACTATTCTATCTCCATCAGTCTTTTTTAGCTCCAGGATAAACAGCTCTTCTGACTTGAGGACCACTACGATACTCTCCACTCATATTCTGTGTTTCCCACATGGCTTCCTTCTTCTTTGCCATAAGGCCCTTTATGCCCTTGTGTTTCTGTGAGGAAAGCTTGAGCTCCAGATAAGGAATAATCAGCCCTCCTCACATAGCCACAATGACTTAGCTATTGGCCACACCCACTCAAGGAAGTATGACTGCATGATTAATCAGCCCAACTCCTTCCAAGAGAAGGGACCTCTGCCTTCTGATTATTTAAGTTTATGAGTTTCTCTTCCCAATTTTAGCTATGTGTTATTTCTAACAAGAAAATCAATGGTGTTTTGTTAGAGAAATACACTCACTATCCTGAAACCACCTTTGCAAAGATTATGAGCATGAAAGAAATCTAACACGGCTGACTTCATCTTGCTTCCAGCCTCATGGGTGAGCTGGCTTTGCTCATTCCTGGGTGTAGGCCAAGCTAACAATGAAAGGAATTTAGTTTATAATTTAACTTTGGAGCAAGGATAATAACGGTCTCTTCTAAAACTAGCTCTCTCCTTGCTCAGGGCCTGAAAGCTAATCTAAGGCCAAGAGATTAGGATTATGAGAGGGACCTGAACTCTGCTAAAATATAGGCATAGCTTTTATAATCCATTACTGCTCAGAGATTTGTGACTTTCCTAATTGTTCCTATAGATAACATCACTATTATAGAATGTAAGATTGGTCTTCTGAGATGTTTTTCAGGTTTTTGCATATGACAACTGACTGACTCTACCTGGACCTGTGACTCATGACTCATCTGGTCCTGTGGCCCCCAACCAGAGGTGGATACAGCACATGAGGACCATTTCCCACACCCTCATCCCCAACCAATCAGCAGTACCCATTCCCTAGCTCCCTTCCTACTAAATGATCTATAAAAACCATTGCCCCTGTGTTCTTGGGGAGACTGAGTTGAGTGATAACTCCAGTTCTTCCACATGACTGGCCTTGTGTTAATTCAACTCTTTCTTTACTGTAATATACCATGATCTCAGGGAATTGGTTTTGTCTGTATGACAGGCAGGAAGAATCCTTCAGGCAGTTACAGTCCCAAGAAATGAAACAGGTCAAAAGTAAAAGTTTAGAAAATGTTTAAAAGTTTTCCTGGATTGCACATATATAATAGGTTTTAGTGTGGATTACATAGATGTTTGGGAGGTTTACCTCCCTGACCTTTAAGTCTAGCAAGGATCATGATCTATCTTTCTGCCACATTTCTGGTAGCCACTGGTCAGAGAGAATGGTTGTGCCATGGACATTACACTTTAAAAGAGTATGAAAAAAAGAGGAGGCAGGTTTTACGAGATGGAAAACATGAAGAAATGTTATATGCTCTGAGGTTGCTTAGATTATACAAGATAATAATTTCTAAGGAAATAATTTTATAAATGTTTATTGAGTCATGTTAATCAACTGTAGTTGATTAACAAGGAATGGGCCATGAGGAATGAAGAATGACATAGTTAGAAGGGTGGAGATATTTAAATATGTTCAAGATATTAAAGTATCTTTAATATTTTCAAGAGGAAGAGATAATCATTTACCCTGTGTGGTTTCAACTAGAGACTGATATAGATACAAAAAATTAGAAGCCCTAACTTCTTTAAATCAGACTTAGTAAATTTTTTTTTAATATTAACTCACAAATTATAGTGGTATTTAATAAGAAACTTTAGGCCGGGCGCGGTGGCTCAAGCCTGTAATCCCAGCACTTTGGGAGGCCGAGACGGGCGGATCACGAGGTCAGGAGATCGAGACCATCCTGGCTAACACAATGAAACCCCGTCTCTACTAAAAAAAATACAAAAAAATTAGCCGGGCGTGGTGGCGGCGCCTGTAGTCCCAGCTACTTGGGAGGCTGAGGCAGGAGAATGGCGGGAACCCGGGAGGCGGAGCTTGCAGTGAGCCGAGATCGCGCCACTGCACTCCAGCCTGGGCGACAGAGCGAGACTCCGCCTCAAAAAAAAAAAAAAAAAAAAAGAAACTTTAAGAGAAAAATGTATTGACACAAGTACTTTGTTAAGGGAAAGTGCCAAGCTACTTACCTTTTCTTTTTGTAATGGAAAAGAGCAAAGAATATTTATATGTCAAGCCATAAAATATAGAGAATATTAGTTAGGAAGGATAATGATTTAAATTTAAATGTCAACCAATTCACTATTTTCCCATGAAATTGAGTTCCTGACTAGGTTGTTTACAGCAAGATCTACTATGACAAACTACTTTTTAAAAGTGTATTGGCATCTCTGTGAAATACAAAAACTTCAATTGCTGTATAGTTTGTTGTAGGAAACTGCATTGTTTAGAATATTTCCTATAGAAAACTGTTCACTTAAAAGTTACAAATTTAGGTTTTTTTATTTTTATTTTTTTTAGACGGAGTCTGCTCTGTTGCCCAGGCTGGGTTGCAGTGGTGCGATCTCGGCTCACCACAACCTCTGCCTCCCGGGTTCAAGCGATTCTTTTGCCTCAGCCTCCCAAGTAGCTGGGGCTACAGGCACACACCACTATACCTGGCTAAGTTTTTGTATTTTTAGTAGAGATGGGTTTTCACTGTGTTGGCCAGGCTGGTCTCAAACTTCTGACCTCATGATCTGCCTACCTAAGCTTCTGAAAGTGCCGGGATTACAAGCGTGAGGCATCAAGCCTGGCCCTCAGTTTTTTATGGGTATAGAATTTGCTCATCAACCTTATAACATTGATATTATTGATTCTGGCCTCACTGGTGTTGTTATACTTTAATCAACCATTACAAAAGCTGCATATGTTTTCTTTCCTGTCAAAGACATTTCTTTATTCAGATCTTAATTTTTGCAAGTTTTTTTTCAAGTGTAAAAAGTTAATAGTGACCTCGCACAGTGGTTCATGCCTGTAATCCCAGCACTTCGGGAGGCTGAGGCGGGTGGATCACTTGAGGTCGGGAGTTTGAGACCAACCTGGCCAACATGGCAAAACTCTGCCTGTACTAAAAATACAAAAATTAGCCTGGTGTAGTGGCACATGCCTGTAGTCCCAGCTACTCAGGAGGCTGAGGCATGAGAATCCCTTGAACCTGGGAGGTGGAGGTTTGAGTGAGCCGAGGTCGCACCACTGCACTCTAGGCTGGGTGACAGAGAAAGACTCTGTCTCAGAAAAAAAAAAAAAAGTTAATTGTGTTTACAAAGTATTTGTTTATATATTAAAATACCCAATGGAAAGTCTCAATTCTTCCCCACTGGCAGGCTATGTGTGCCATAAGTGACCCAATCAAACTTCTAGTGCTATGATAGGATCTGGGCTTAGAGGTCAGTGTCTGCAATGTCTTAGCAAAATTAGGATATCAACAGTTTACATTTCTTGGGATAATATGGCTATACTTACCCTTACCCTTTTCTGTACTTTAGAATTATCCAAGAGAGGAAAATGATGACTAAAATAACGAAGATCGTACCGGATAAAGTGCCTAGGCAGTAAAACAAGGTAATTACATGCATGGAAAATATAACTCATAGGTTTTAAATTCTGTCTTAGTATCCAGTCCCGCTATAGATTGCCAATGCTTTTTTTTTTTTTTTTTTTTTTTTTCTTTTAAGATGTAACTATACATTCTGCTTTACTCTGGGTTTCTATAGTATTAGTCTTACTCCCACAGGGTTATTATAGTTAAGGTGTGATCTGAGCTGTTTTGTAACCTTTAGTCCAACATCAACTTTTCCAAAAGTAAGTGAGAACCACGATGGGGCAGCTGGCCATCAGCTCTCCATGGCCCTGCCCGTGTGTCTTGCCTAAGGCTTAACACACAGGCATTTCATTGTGACAGTACTGGAATTTTCTCTCTTGTTGAATTATATATGTAGGTCCTTTGTCCATTTATTGATTGTTAAAGTGCACAGTCTCCACAGGTAGGTAGACCCAGGCTACCCCATTCTGTGGTCTTGGGCAAGGTACCTAAACCCTCCATGTCTCAGTGTCCAGATGTGTAAAAAGGGATGTAAGAATACCATGCCACAGAAATTCCCTTGGAAGCAAACTCTATTACAAAACTACTCTTCTAACATAGGCAGATCACAGATATGGGCTCAGAAGACTGATCTTGTGGCTTTCTATTTGTGCAAATGGGCACAATCACCATCTGGAAGCATACTCCAGGTTATAACCCAAAGAAGAAGCTTCATTCTCCCACCACATTCAAATAAGTTATTTTTGACACTGTTGAATGATTATGCATTTGTAGTGGTTCAAAGATAGTAAAGAACCTTTGAGGAAGGTTACTCAGTAACCTGGCATATGATGATGCCAGTTCCACCATATCCTGGCCTAAACTCATCATGATTTTCTTTCTAGTTGAATTTACAACTCAAGATATTTTAATCTCTCTTTTTGCATTTCATTCATTGTAAGTAGGTACTTACTGTTAAGGATGCCAGAATTCCTCAGCAAACCCTTCATAAAACTTACCAACTATAAGAGCGTCATTTGCACCTAAAACGAAGACAGAAGTCACAAAAACATCACTCTGGCATGCAACATAATTGAACAGGACTTCTCAGCCAGTGACAATTTATCCTGAATTTTATTCAGGACTCAGACTAATATTTGTTTTTAAAAGTCATTGATTTCACTCACATACTCTCATTTTATCTTCTGTACTCAGAGAAGATTTTCTTTTTTAGACAAAGTCTCAATCTGTCGCCAAGCTGGGGTGCAGTGGTGCAACCTCACTGCCACCTCTGCCTCCCAGTTCAAGGGATTCTTGTGCCTCAGCCTCCTGGGTAGCTGGGAATACAGGCACGTGCCATCACACCCAGCTAATTTTTGTGTTTTTAGTAGAGACGGGGTTTCACCATGTTGGCCAGGATGGTCTCAATCTCCTGACCTCGTGATCCACCCGCCTCAGCCTCCCAAAGTGCTGGGATTACAGGTGTGAGCCACTGCCAAGAAGGCTTTTTAAAAATTAATATTTTTGTCATAAAAGTAATACAATTATAGAAGAAAACTTACAATACAGAACTAAAAAAAAAAATCATCCCAAATCCTAGTGCCCAAAACATGTTTTGATACATTCTCTTCTGGTATATTTTCTTATACGTGTATTTTCACATATTTATATACTAGAAATGTAAACTACAACAAAGACAAACTAATATAATCTAGTAGATGCATCATAGTGTATTCAATGACTACTATTGTGCATTTATTTCTAGTTTTCTTTCTCATGAAACCCTTAATAAAATGCATAAAATATTTTATATTTTACATTATTTCCTTAGATTGGAGTTCTAGGAGGGCTAACTGGCAGGAATAGTTGTATTATTGTCCACATACGTCGCATAATTGTTTTTCATAATAGATTTTGCCAATGTACAATAGTACCTTCAACATACAACAATATTCATTACATTACATCCTTACTTTTTATTGGGTATTCACATAAAAACCTTTTTAATGGACAATTTTAAAAAATGGTACCTTGTTATTTTGCATTTCTTTAGTTCTAGTGAGGTTAAACAGTTTCTGTATATTTGTGTGTCAAAGTAGAAAGATATTTACACCCTTCCTCTAAATCTTGCATCCTAAGATAGTTTCTGCATTTCCCTGCAGAAACTTTCAGGGCTGTGTTGCATTGAACTATGTAGAACTGAAGAAACTCCATTTACCTTAGAAATGGCATGGAGACTTCTTGTGAACTAAGAAGGTCCAGAAAGTGGGGAGAATATTGAGAGACAGTCTGGGTGGAACTGAGAGAAACTAGGCTCGAGGAAAGCAGTTGCTTTAATGAATGGGACACTGGGTAATGGAAATGGGTAAAGAGGATTTGGGGACATTTTAATGAGTGTCACATAGTTTAATTTTTCTTTAAGCCTCTCTTAAGATATTCAAGTAGAAACTTCTCTTAGTTTTAACATGTTTCCTGGAGTTGAACTTATTTGTCTAGCATGCAACACCATGCTAATTATTCTTGAGACAGCATAAATATGGGTTATATGTATTAATTCTGGCTTTAAAGGGGACCTGGCGATTACCCCTTGCTCTGAGGAAGATGTTGAAATGTATCGGACCTCTGACGTAACTGGGCCATTGAAATGGGAAGATAGGGGATCTGAGTATCCCAAGAAATTCTTCCTTCTCTGATGCTAGTACTCAGAGGTTCCTTTTTCTCTCTGGATTGCTATTCTTTCTCAAAACCCTCTATGGCATGTCACTCCAAGCCTGGACCACCTCCCCAGGTTAGTTCTTCATCTTCCATTTTAGGAAGGCCTAGGACTGGTATCTTAAGTAATCTATCCCAAGCCTTAGGGGAAAATACTGGGTTTTATTTTTTCTGTTTTGATGGTCTCTAAGATCATGAAACTTTCTTTGCCTCTTCTCACTACAAAGCAGTAAGATGTCAAAGGCGAAGACTAGATAGGGTAAAGAGACTAGGAACAAGAAGGCAAAGGGGACTGCTTTTAGTCTGAGTCTTAGTTCAGAGAGACAAAAGGAGTTCCTAAGTGGTTCAGCCCAATTCACGAGGAGTCTACACTAAGCTCTGAGTTCCAAGAACCTGCTGGTTAATAGTTATTTGGCCCATTCTGATTCTTTGTTGTATCTCCTTCAACCAACTGAAGAATTGCCCATTATCTGGTGTTTGAGACCTTGGCCTGATAACTTTCCATTTTATTATGACAATACTTAAATATTCTCTTGTTGAATGATATATTTACATCCTTTGACCATTTATTTATTGTTAAAGTTAAATATTGTTATTTATTGTTACAGACAAGTAGATTGCTTGGCCAGGCTACCCCATTCTGTGGTCTTGTACAAATTACCTAAACCCTCTGTGTCTCAGTTTCTACATCTATAAAATGAGATAATAAGAATACTACCCTCCTCACAGGTTGTTGTGTAATTAAATTAGAAGCTATCTTTTGTGTGTTTGTGTGTGTGTGCGTATGTTTTGAGACAGAGTCTTGCTCTATTTTCCACGCTGGAGTGCAGTGTTGTGATCTCAGCTTACCGCAGCCTCGACCTCCCAGACTCGGAATTCTCCCACCTAAGCCTCCCAAGAAGCTGCAACTACAGGCATGTGCTACCATGCCCAGCTAATTTTTTTATTTTTTGTAGAGACAGAGTTTCGCTATACTGCCCAGGTTTCTCTTGAACTCCTGGGCTCAAGTGATCCTCTCACTTTGGCCTCCCAAAGTGCTGGTATTACAGACATAAGCCACCATGTCCAGCCTATCTATCTTTTAACGGTGGTACTAAGTATTCATTATATAGTAATTTTTACAAATAGTACCACAACCACCACTACTGCTACCTGTAAGATAACACTATTAATCCTTTGCTGTGTTTCCCATATATTTCTCATCTATCTACTGCGTTATTTTTCAACCACAGAAATTCTAAGTCAAATTAGCCAACAGGTCAAAAAAGTCAGCACCAGGCTCATGCCTGTAATCCCACCACTTTGGGAGGTTGAGGCAGGTGGATTACCTGAGGTCAAGAGTTAGAGACCAGCCTGACCAACATTGTGAATCCCCGTCTCTACTAAAAAATACAAAAATTAGCCAAGTGTGATAGCAAGCGGGTGTAATCCTAGCTACTTGGGAGGCTGAGGCAGGAGAACTGCTTGAACCCAGGAGGCAGAGGTTGCATTGAGCTGAGTTTGTGCTATTGCACTCTAGCCTGAGCGACAGTACAAGACTCCATCTCAAAAAAACACATTAAAAAGTCTACAACTTTTATGATTCAATGCTCTTCTGTCCTTACTGGAGGATAGAGCTTGTGCAGGCAGTCACAGCCACAAATGCATCTACAGTTGTCAGGTACTGTCATTTAAAGCCAGACTAATATATCAAAGGAAAGAGCTATGGAGGCTAAGAGTACAGTCTTAAACTCTGCTTCTCCAGGGCCTCCTGAGTTCCCTTTGTTAATGGTGAGGTGAAGGACCAACTAAATATAGTCAGTGACTTGAACAAACCCTTGGAAACAACATAAAAAGTATAAATCCCTACATCTGAGTTTCTTAAATTACTTTTATAGTATTATCAGTTCTGAAGTAAATTACGTCATCATCGTGTACTTTTCGTGCAGCACATCCATCTGTCCAGGATAAAGACAACTCGTAGTAGAGGTAGAATAAAAGAGTATTTTATTTAGCATTTGTTTTCAGTACTTTGAAAATATTCTCTACAAAATCTGGACCTCACCAATTCTCTTCACTGTCCACCCCCTTCTCTCCTTACCATCCCACACTGCTCACCCCAAGGACCATCAGAATACCAACAACTGAGACACAGTGTGCCTACTAGAACCCATTTGTCATTCACTTGGGAGGTAGTTCTGTCTCTGACATTCATAGCAAAGCCATTTTCACAAGCAAAAATGACTGCCACTATAGAAATATGGAGGTTCTCACCTAGATATTCTGAACCCGTTTAGGATATGTGGAAGCAGGTACTAACCAGCAGGAACAGAAAGTTCACAGCGAGGGGCGGGGCTGCTCCAAACCCCATTCCCTTGAGGGTCACTTGTGCAGCGGATGGTGCTCTCCCCAATGAGGTTGAAGGTCATCCCTCTGTCTGGTGAGGGTCGCATGTGTAAGATACTTCTTTTCCATAGGGAATATCTCCAAGGGGAGCTCCTATGTGTCTCCCATTAAGGATAGCTGGAGGATTTGGGCAAAAGATTTCTAGAAAGAAAACAAGAGCTTTAAGTTCCATTAGAGTTTCACTTCAGATGACTGAAATATTAGTGACCTGTGACTGTGCTATGAGTATAATTTTTTTTCTTTTAGAAAGAATATAACTAAGGTGGATAGAATTTAAATCTGTAAGGCTTTTGTTGAGAGGCAACTAAGTGATGTGAGACCTAAATTACAGTTTATTGCAAAAGGCCAAAGACAGTGTTTTTGGACCATCCAGGTAGCTATGTTCATAATGAATTTGGAAAGTAATTATTTTTTTATATTTTTAAAAACGCCCATTTGGTTGTCTACTTTAAATTAGGCATAGTAAGATTCCTGGGTTGACAATGAGGTTCAAGACAGACAAAGTTTTGGCCATTGGAGACCATAAGTTCCAAGGAAATCTATGAACGTTAATAATCATGAACTATCATCTTGAGCAATGTAAATGTTTCTTGGTGATTCAAGACCATTATCATCAGGACCAACACCAAATTTCCAATGGCGTCATCAGACTACATTGATAAGGCTCTTTTTACCCAGATTAAATGGTGCCAAAGAGCCTTTTTTTCTTTCTTCCAAATTATTAGCCATCATTTCTTCCTCCTTTTAGTCTGCTTAGAACAGTTCCTTCCCTAAAAGCACTTGATGCTTCTAATTTGATATGAATTTAGGAAGAGATGCCCAAGTTTATCAGAATTATTTGTATAAAAAAGACTTAGTACATCAAACAATGATTGACTTCTTATGCTTGAATTTTACCTGTTTGTGTTTTCCTAAGTTTGTTTATATATTTATTTCCAGCTTTATATGTCTCTGTAAGGTTGAGTTTGTTGGATACTTGAGTTTCCTCAGGTATTCACTGTTCTTCACCGTAATACTCACCATAAAATATCCGAATTGATTTCTGTAAGTTATTTTAACACAATGCAAATTAAACATTTTCTAATAAGAAAAAAAAGGTTTAAAAAATTCTTGCCTTGCTTTAATAGACAGAATAAGGTAAATCAGTAATGTCTTAGTATGTCAAACATATACTCTTATCTAAGAGTTTCTGAATTCTTTCTGAATTTGGACATACTTTATTTAAGCAGATGGTTTGGAAACTTAGGGCACTAATCATCATTTCAGACACTGATTCATCATCCCAGCTCCTTCCCCTGTACTAATTTATCATATAACTCTGTTTTATTTTCTCCATAACATCCCTATTTAACTATCATTTTATATATTACAATTTTTAGAATTTTGATTACTTATTTTATCATTCTTAGTCTGCTTCCCAACAAGAAAATACACTCCAGGAAAGTAGGGAGGTGTCTTCACTATTCTTTTACTCTTCATTGCTTTTTCTACACATGGAAAGTCCTAGCACATGGGAAGCCCTATGTCATTAAATACTGCCGGCTAAAAAATAAGCTGACTAAACTGTTTATGATATGCGAGGGGATAAAAGAACATAAAAATTTGGCTGGGCATGGTGGCTCACACTTGTAATCCTAACACTTTTGGAGGTGAAGGTGGGAGGATAGCTTGAGCCCAGGAGTTTGAGATCAGCCTGGGCAATATGGCAAGACTCCATCTCTACAAAAAATAAAAAATTAGCCAGGTGTGGTGGCATGCACCTGCAGTCCCAACTACTGGGAGGCTGAAGTGGGAGGGTCACTAGAGCCCAGGCCATTGAAACTGCAGTGAGCTGTGATTGCACCACTGCAGTCTGTCCTAGGTAACTATCTCAAAAAGGAAAAAAAAAATTAAGAAAGATTACTCCTTATAAGAAAACTAAAAATAAATGACTAACTAAAACGTGCTGCACCTTTATGTCATCTAGTTTCTTGCCACACATTCCACACAACATTAAACACTGTCATTAAACTAAGTGATTTACAGATTAGTAACAAATGTCAGAGAAGTCCTACAAGATGCTTCTTGAAATTCTTCCAACAAAGAAGTATTTTTATCCGAAATTTAGTTAAGTAAAGATCCAGACAACAAGTGATTCCATGCAGTAAACACACTGGAAAACAAAAATAAGGAGAGTTATCCAAACTACATAGTTCTTTCTACTCACGTTCACACACTGGAACACTGCTATTCCAAAGGGCTTTCATTCCAGCCAAGACACAATGACTAGCAAACCTGCCTTTTAATCGGAACCTAAAGAAAAAAAAAAGTGGTAGCAAATGTGTGAGCAATTCCCATCTCTCCCTTGATTTCTTCACTAATAGATGCTCAGCTTCCTCACTACCATTTCCTCTTTGACTATCATTTGGTTCTTAGGTTCCGGCCCAGCTAAAAGTCTAAATTCATTAGGGATCTGAATTCTTCAGTAGCTGGCAGAAACTCAAAGGCCAATTTATTCTAAAGAACCATGGTACCCTGTGACTGGCAAAGCAGTTAGAGCTGATGTGCCATGTAAACTTCATAGCCCAGCATCATCTACAGAAGGCATGAACACAGAACCAGACTTCTCCATGGGCACAAGAGCCATAACCTTCAGGTGTCATATTTCACTGATGGCTCTCTGACATCCCACTTATTCTTATTAGTGGGTCATGAGGCAGAACAACTCTCGATTTGGTAAGCAAAGCCAGGAACATCTGGAAAGAGAACAGCCATTGTTTTTCTTGCCACTCCAAATATAATGGGCCAGAGGAGGCTCACAGAAGCATGCTGAACCACGTGCTCTAACAAACAAAGAAGGGTCGGGGGAAAAGTCTTTGCCACCCTGAAAAGCCTAACTTACTATTGAATCCTGCTTCCCTTCTGAAATCTAAAATTGTTCTGGAATTGGAAATCATTATTAGGTGGTGGACTTTGTAAATGCCAAAAAATCCTTGGAAATTATTAAAGATAACTCCTTAATTGCTCAATCTAGTTATCCCCCCAGACTCATAGTGTACCAAGAATAATGGATACAGATAAACAACGAATAATACCTCACTTGACAGTGGTAGAAGCAGGAGGCAGACAAATCCTAGGCAGATGGGGCGGATCCCGATGAAACCCGACCTTCAAGCTGAAGACAGTTTAAAGCCTCGCTACAAGTTCCAGGTAAATCCATGGACTGGCTTGAGAACCTCTCTTCCCATTGGGTGTGCTTGCCTCTGATTGATCCCCACTCTTCATCTATTTCACATATACCTGCTCTTCCATAATTGGTTTTTTTGCACTGTTGTGCCCACCTTTGAGTGGTGGCTTTGCTTTAGCCTTTTTTGCATACTCACAAACAAATTAATACACACTTCCAATTCTGAGTCCATAAAAGCCCCAGAACCAGCCACACTGAGAGAATGACCCCCTGACTTCATCTGGGGTCCACCCTCGTGTCTCGTCTCCCCTGAGAAGCTGTTTCGTCACTCAATAAAACTCTTCTCCACCCTCCTCAACCTTCTATTGTTAGCATAACCTTCTTTTTCTTGGCTGCAGGAAGAGAACTCAGGACCTACCAAACGCAGGTACGAAGAAGGCTGTAATACAGTGACCCTTTGCCCTCTCCCAGGGGAGGGCAGCTATTCCATGCAACAGGAAGCAGCAGCAGGTCAAGTCAGCCCTGGAGACGCAGGCCTGGCAGGGCGATGGGACTGACAGAGTTGTTAACACACCGCCATCTGTTGGGCTGCAGGCATTATCAAATGCTAAGAGCTATTAGCATGCTATAACACCCCCTCTTGGCTTTGGGGTTGTGGGGACCCCTGTTTGGGCACCACCACGTTTCCTTCAGTGCAACATGACTGGTTCAGCCGCAATCCCCACACGGAGCCCGCTCCTGGGCCAGTGCTTGGCGCAGCCAGCCAGAACCCACACTTGCTCACTACACACCCCCTCCTGCCAGAGGCTGAGCATGTAGTCGTGGCAGCCACAGGATCTTCATCAGAGCCCAAGCCAGGCACGGCCTGGGAGGGTCGAGTAGATGGGGTGTCTCCTGCGTTGATCCTGGGCCGAGCAAGGCCTGGGCAGGGCTGTTTCTGGCCAGAGGTCACCAGCTGGCAAAGTGGCTGAGAAAAATCTTGCATCAAAACAATTACACTGGCCATTCTTGACATGAAGATATGTAATTGGGTTATACTTATCCATACAGTATTACAGATTTCACTTTTGATTGGTTTTAAGTTTCCTAAAACAACCTTTGCCTTATTATGAGGCAAACAATTTTCGTCTTACTCATCTTTTTTTCTCTAGTATACATTTTATAAAATTATGTTCTTTTGCCTCCAAATAAATACATACCCATTCATTTCAAGTTCCAACTGTGGACTCAAGATCAGTGACTGTATTTAGGTTTGTACCTGACATTGAGCTGTATGTGCCATTTTCTCATTGTCTTCTGAAAGTGGTGCCACTTAGTCCCTATCCTTATTTCAAAACTACCCTTCCATAAATTCATCTGTCTGGGTACTTCTTATCTACTAGGTCGGCTCCTGGTTTGGATTAACCCCTGATCTCAGGGGAGTGATTCTCCACACTGAGTCCTGGGTCTCAACTCTGGGTCACACTCACCCTTCATCGCAAACAAAGGACACCTTTGCTCCAAGCTGGAGATTGAGTGGAAACAGCACACGGCCATGAGGAAGTTGGCCCAGGAAGTCATCACAGGATTTCACTAGAAGAAAAATAAAACAACAGGAGTAAGACCTCCATGTGAGGGGGAAACAGCAATCTGGAAGCCAGAGAGTCAAGGCACCTGTACATATGGGGGCTTCAGGGTTCCAGTCTCCCTGGGGCGTGCAGTGCAGAGACGCAGCCCCTCTGAGGTCATAGCCGGGCTCACAGCTGTAGAACACTTCCTGCCCAGGTGAAAAGTCCTGATGGCTTGGAGTATGCTCACCATGCAGGATTTCTGGAGGCGGCTGACACACTGTGGAAAGGACAGTTCCAGAGTACTTGTTACTTACGGGGGAATTTCTTTTGCTATACCCTATGCTTGCTGAAGGCCTCATAGCTAGTAAAAGGTAGAGATATAGAACCCAATTCTCCCTAGCACAAGGCCCCAAACTCACTTGTAAATCTACAGGGTACGAGGTATTTTCTCCTAGCTCTGGCTATCCAATGTGGAGTTACTAGTATTGGTGGATTCTCCATCTACATATTTCCTATGAAGGTAATCCCGATTTGTACCATTGTTATTCAGGTAATGAGACTGTCACCTGAGACCAAGTCTGTTTTATAGATTTCCTCCCATTTCTCTGATAGCACACCTATGACTAAAGTGCAGTCATACTGTTTCAGGACAGGCATGACCCTAAATTGGGGCTTACTCTGGAAGGGTTCTTGCCTCACCCAGGACAGAATTCAAGGATGAGCCAGTGGTGCCAGACAGCAATCTTTTAGAAAGGCACTGCCCCTGCAGAGCAGGGCTAACTCACAGGCAGTACACCCAGAGTCAGCAACATATGAGCTCCTGGCAGCCAACTGTATTTATACTCCTGTAAGCCCGCTTCAATTACATGTAAATTTTTTTAAACTCATTTGTTTATTAATATAGAAAAGGAGCCCAGGGCAGCTGGACCAGTAGTACAAAGCACCAGGAGTTAATACCATTCTGGTGACAGGGTTGGTTTTACAAAAATGAAGGAGCAGGCAGGAGCTGCCAGGTTCTGAGGCCAGGCCCAGCCTACTGCCCAGAATCCCTGAAACAGCTCCCTGGGAGAGGGCTGACAGGTGGGTCGGGGCGGATTGAGCTGGAAACCATGGGGATAGATGGGAGGGATAGAGGGTCATGCAGTGGGAACCACTCAGTGGCTGGCAAGGACAGGGAACTGGTGGCTGGAGGCTCCCCATTGGGCCATGGGTAGGGGCTTGCAGATGGCCTCAGCTCTGGGGCCAGGTAGAGAAACTGCGAGACTGATGGGCATGGAGAACCCAGACATAGCCCTGGGGCTGAAGGGCCTTTCTACCCTTTCTTCCACCTTTGCTCTATACTACATGTGGGGCTTCGGGGCCTAAGGCACAGGGGAGGCTCAGAGGCTTCCAGTTAGGAGGAAGATGGGGCAAGGAAGGAAGCACTTGAGTGTCCCTAGCTTAGGCAGCCAGGGATGAGACACAGGTGGGACAACAGCACCCCCACATAGTGGGGCTAGAATGTGGGGCAGGGAAGGGCTTTTCCTCAGCCAGTGACCAGGACCAGCCCCATGGCAACGGTGCCTGTCTGGAGCCTTAGCAAATCAAGTGTGCAACAAGCACAGGGTGTTGGCAGACCTGGGCTCTAGCCAGAACTTGAATCACACAGAGCTGTATCACCATGGTCCAGTCATGTCCTGCATTGGCCTGTTTCCTCCTCTGTCAATGAGAGCTTTGAATAAGACCTTCTAGGTCATGAAAAGGACTCTGCAGGTGAAGGGAACTCTAGGACCTGCTCTTGGCGGTTAACCAGACCCTGGATGGAACTGGTATGGGATGGGGTGAAGTGGGGCATGGAGGAGGAAGGTGTTCTTGCAGGGAACCTATCCCACAAACACTGCAGAGCTAGGAAAGGCCACTGGAAGCCCTTCTTTGCCCAGAGGAAGAAAGGCCACAGAGAGAGCGAATGTGGCTCGGTGCAATCCCTTCACATCCTCCACCATCTGGGTAACACTTGGCAAGAAGTGGATGGGTGACATTGTGCAACCCTTTATGTTCTTCCCCAGGGGTGGCACTGAAGGCCTCTTGTGGCTTCTGCCTTCAGCCTTTAGTGTGGGATCAAGAGTGTTCTTTTCACTGTGGTCCTGTTCTGGGAACAGCCTAAGACTCTGCCTGGCTGGCACATGTTAGTTGGTGAGGAAAGGACAGAGTGGGTGAGTAAGCAGACAGGGAGGCAAGAGTGACTCTCTGGCTTTCTCCTCTTCCTCTTCAGAGAGCGACTCAATTAACTGAGTCGCAGATCTTCTCCACCACAGCATTGAAGATGTGTGGCTGGTCAGCATAGACGTGGTGAGATGCACCCTCAATCTCCATGTCTCCGACATAGGAATCCAGCCGCTGCATCTTCACCTTTTTTCCCGTACTGGTATCTATCCAGGTGTTGGACCCATAGATCATGGTGATGGGCACACCTTTTCAAATCAAGTGAATTCGCTCCAGCATAGGGTGCTGGGCCCAGCCAAAGGACTCCATCATGGCTTTGAATACCATCTCACCACTGGGATTCTGTGCATTGCAGTGATAGATATACTCTGATATGGTATCATCTTCAAAGAAGTCTACAAACTTGCGTTTGAATCCGGCGAGAATCGCTGCACCAGGCCAGGCCCCCAGGGCCCAGCTACTCGAAGAACAGCCAATGGATTGGAACGTCCTAGGACAGATGCCACAGCTTTGACCCAGGTTGGGGGTGCGCGGATCTCACTGGGGTTAGTTGGTCAGAGGGGAAAGCCCCATGAGTCCACCAGGATGAGGTGTTTAACTCTATCAGGGTACTTGATTGAGTAAGAAGTGGCCAGGAATCCTCCCAAACTGTGCCCCAGGAGGGTCATGCTGGGGATCCCCATGGTCTCCTGCCACGTCTCTATCGATGTCACAAACTCATCCTCAGCCCCCTCCGGGTCCCTCGGGAATGCTGGCCTTGAGCATCGCCCGAAGTCAAGCAGATGGAAGGTGTGCAGTGTGCAGCGAGCACTCAGTGAGTCCATGTTGAGGACCCAGAGGCCCACACCACCCCCAAAACCGTGCACCATCACCAGGGGGGTGTGGTGCTTTTGCTCGGGGCTCACAGTCACTGTCCAGATCTTATTCTGGTTTGGGAGGGATACATATCTGGCCAGGAACTTATTCTGGAGACACTGGAGGATCCTGGCTTCCACATTCTTCAGCTGAGACATGGAAGTGGGGCGCCACGTGGGCAGCCAGTTACTCAGCCAGCCTTGAGGATGCTGCTCCAGATCATCGGCCATAGTAAACAACTGCTTTCTGTTTTGTGTGTGTGCGTTTTTGTTGTTGTTGTTGTTGTTGTTTTTGAGGTGATATCTCACTCTATCACCCAGGCTGGAGCACAGTCGTGTGATCTTGGCTCACTGCAACCTCTGTGTCCCAGGTTCAAGTGATTCTCCTGCCTCAGCCGAATGAGATTTCAGGCGTGAGCCACCTCACCCAGGTAATTTTTATATTTTTATTAGAGACAGGGTTTCACCATGTTGGGCAGGTTGGTCTTGAACTCCTGACCTTAGGTGATCTGCCCATCTCGGCCTCCCAAAGTGCTGGGATTATAGGCATAAGCCACCATGCCCGGCCAGTTACATGTAAGTTAAGGGGCATATCAATGCAAATTGAGGGGGGTGTTATTTAGAACTTTCCTGGAAAGGGGTGGTAACTTCCAGGTCGTTGCCATGGCATTTATAAAATGTCATGGTGCTGATGGGAATATGAGGGCAGCTAGCGATTGCTTTCATCGCCATCTGCCTGTTCCTGCTGTTTTTTTCACTTCATCCTATCTAGGACAGATTCTGTTTTGGTCAGCAGGATTGTGACCAGAACACAAGCCCTGCCAGTCTCCTACCTCAATACATCCGTCCTTATATCCCTTTATCTGTTTGTCTTCCCAGTTCAGTGGTTGCACAAGGCTAACATGGGTTGGTAGAAGAATGGTAAGCTCTTTCTCTGTCCCTATGTATCAGCCATAACACCTCCCACTCAGCTGCTAAGCCAGCTATTGTGGCATCAGTAGACAAGATGAGCCATCAAAAACACAAGGCCTTAAATAAGCCAGTGTTGTTGTAAACAATAAATGAGATAATGTATATAAAGCGCTTAGGGCACAGCTGACTATAAAGTCCATATAATTTTTCAGTATAATTGAGAGAGATTGGAGCTGGTACTTTGCCCTGAGAACTGATTAATAGGTGAGTCCAAAATAGCTTTTTTTCTGGCTAATTAAGGTCTTACTTTTTAAAATGAAGACACATATGCTGGGTGCATGCACACTCCCGATTCTTAATTTCATGCTGCTTCCCCCCAAAATTACTTTCCCACCCTCCTCACCACACATCCCTCCCCTGAACAAATACTAATCTCCAGCACTTTGGGAGGCCAAGATGGGTGGATTGCTTGAGTTGAGGAGTTTGAGACCAGCCTGGGCAACATGGTGAGACTCTATCTGTACAAAAAAACATAAAAATCTTAACCAGGCGTGGTGGCATGCACCGATAGTCCTAGCTATGTGGGAGGCTCAGGCAGGAGAATTGCTTGACCCAGGGAGGCAGAGGTTGAAGTAAGCCATGATCACACCACTGCAGCCCAACCCAAGTGACAGAGCAAGACAGTATCTCAGGCAAAACAAAACAGACAAACATAGAACAACTGGTAACTACCTAATAACTTTGTTTTAAGGATTACAATTCACATGTAGCCTGTATCATAGTGCCTGGCCAGAGGAATCACTCATTTTGTATCAACAATTGTTATACTCAAAAGTAATTGACAGATCTGTTTATAAGAACCCCAAAGAAACATCATATTCCTTGCCCAGGTTGAGCTTTGCTTCTCAATTTCAGAACATGTATATGTACACACACCTTCTGAATTTCACCTTCACTATCTAGAAAATTTGCTCCCTGACCCTGCTCAGTACACATCCCTCCCCCTGAACAAATACCGATCACCTGATCCAACAGCAACTCATGTCATTTGCAGGGACCTTCTAGGCCTCAGTCAGACTCACCCCTGGAGCAGCTTGGTAACTCTGGCTCCCATTTGTTCAGGGCCTGGCATTGCACATGGCGGGGTCCTTTCATGACAAAGCCAGGCTGACACCTAAACTCCACAACTTCATTTAAGGAAAATAAGCTTCTGTTGACAGATACCAATATTCCATTTTCCACATTTGGAGGCATACATTTGTTAGGTATAATGCACTGAGGGGCCGGGCCGCTCCAGATGCCCACTTGGTCATCTTTGCTGGTGCAGTATATGGAGGGCTCACCCACGAGCTCAAACAGCTTTTTCCTTCCGCTTCCAAGATTGCAGCGGTAGGTCACCACAGATCCGTAGGGAAAATACTCTCTGCTGGTGCTAAAGAAATCTCCATTGGCGATGGTGGGGGGTAGCCCACAAGGAATTACTGGGAAAAGGAAGAGCATAACAGTCAATTTAAATAATGAATGACAAAAATCTCATGAGTCACTAAACTGTAACTATTTTTACATTCATTATTTGCTTTTAATCTTTGCTAACATGTAGGTACATTTTTACAAAGTTGTAATTTCGGTGGGCATAATATGATGTGTCCTGCCTTTCTTACTTATGTGATTTCCTATAATATTTGCATGCATGTATTCACTCAATCCACATTCTTTTCATTTTACATAGCTCTTTGATTATAGTATTATAGAGTTTACACCGTTTTCTCCTACTCTTTTCCATTTGCTTTCTTAATTTGCATTTTTGTTATTAACTGAAGTTAGCTGTTTTAGGAAAACAAAATATAAAAACCTTCACTAAAAGATAAATTATAAGGGAAGAGAGAAGACACAAATATACACAGTAGGAAAAGGAATTTAAACATTGTTATGGATATGAGAATATTTATAAAACTGTAGACTACTGGGGGTTAAATATTTTGAAAATCTAAATGATATAAATGGAAATATAAATTGCCAATATTCATTCAAAAACACGTAGAAAGCTAGAATTACCCAAGAAACATGTAAGAAGAATAAAAAAAATAAGTTCTATTGAACTTTTAAGTAACATATGCTTCCAAATGTAGTTTCAACATTTCACAACATACAAAAGATATAAAACTTATCAACTCATTTACTCAAATCTAAATTTGATACAATAACATATCTGTGTAAAAGTGGTCATTTATTAGTCCACAAAAACCCCTAAATGTATGTTAACATACAGACCAAGACATAGAAGAATAAAGCCTAGCGTGTTTAAGTGAAGTCCTGTCATGAGAGGAGAGAGATAACAGATATAAACAACATTTGAAGAAGTAATAACTGAGAAATTTCCAAGACTGATGCAAGATTACAGATTCAAAAAGTTATACAGGCCTGGCGTGGTGGCTCATGCCTGTAATCCTAGCACCTTGAGTGGCCCAAGTGGGCAGATCACCTGAGGTCAGGAGTTTGAGACCAGGCTGGCCAACATGTCGAAACCCCGTTTCTACTAAAAATACAAAAATTAGCCAGGCACAGTGGCACAGGCCTGTAATCCCAGCTACTGAGGTGGCGGAGGTGGGACGATTGCTTGACTCTGGGAGGTAGAGGTTGCAGTCAGCCAAGATCGCGCCACTGCCCTCCAGTCTGTGTGACGAGAGTGAAACTCCATCTCAAAAAAAAAAAAAAACAAAACACCACCTATATAAACCCAAGCAATACAAAGAAATACTTACCTAGATACAACATAGTAATATTGTAAAAAAAATCTATTTTAAAGTGTAATCCATTTTAAAAGCAGCAGGAAACATGGACAATAGCCTTCGAAGGAATCACAATTAGAAAAATGTTTAGAGAATTTGTTGTCAGAAGATCTACAATACAAAAATGCCAAAGAGACTTTTTCAGACTGAAGGAAAATAGTTTCATACAGAATTTATAGAATTGCAGTAAGAAGGAAACACACTAGAAACAGCTTATGTGCGGATATGTTTTCATTTAGGATCTTTATGATAGAGAGAACCTCTACAGTGATTAGAAGAAACACAAGATGGAAGTAAAGATTTTATTACGGCCTGAGGGTACACGCCATGCCTGAAGATCACAGAAAGGTTGGTCAGTGCAAGGAATGGAGAGAGAAAGAGAGAAGGGGACACATCGGCCGACACCTTTATTGGCGACCAGAGTATGACCCAGCAGGCATCTCCCATAGGGAGTTCCAACTGGTGAGTTTAAAGAAAGCAGGCACATGTTCCAGGAAGGCATGCTGCGACTGAGAGGTGGTCATGGCAGCATATCTGCGAAGTCCACGCAGGGCACAGAGGTCAGGGATGCGAGTCAAGTAGGTTTTATCTAGCTGTCCCATAGAGAGGTGGTCACCAGAAGGCAGTTTTATAAGGCAGATATCTGGCTCGACCACGTTGAAAACTGGGAGGAGGTACAGAACTAGAAAGGGCAATAAGGGTGACTAAGCTCTGCTTCTGGCATGAGAAAGCTAAACATATTCTAAATGGATGCTGAGGCAACATAAAAATTATAAGAATTCACTACCGTGTAAATATAAATAGAGACTGTTTTTATAAAGACAACAACAATAATTATGTCTTTGAAATATAGCATATATGTAAATTGTTAAATCAAGTGTAGCCTAAAGCCTTACATAGTTTAAGCTCAGCCTCAAGGTTTCTCTGTGCACTGCGAACTGTAACAACTGAAGATGTAAACAGACCATAGACTACTCTTATGCCAATCATCGAGTTTTGGCCAATCAAATGTGGCCAACTGTTTGAACTATCTTCAAATAAGGCAAATGCTGAGCTATAACCAATCCGGCTGTTTCTATACCTCACTTCTGTTTTCTGTGCGTCACTTTCCTTTTTCTGTTCATAAATCCTCTTCCACCACGCAGCTGGACTGGAGTCTCTGGCCTACTGTGGCTCAGGAGGCTGCCTGATTTGTGAATCGTTGGTTACTGAATTAAACTCTTTTAAATTTAATTCAGCTGAAGCTTTTCTTTCTGGAAAATGTATGACAACAATACAAAAAGAGGGAGAGGACACAAATGGAATTAAATATTAATAGTTTGGGTACTTGCATTGTTTGGAGAAAGGTAAAAGCACAATTTTAGTAGACTATAGTAAATCAAGGATGTCTATCTCTAGAGTAGTCATTTAAGAATAAAAAATGAAATATAACTTAAAAGCTACTGGGGAAAATAGAAAAATAAAAATACTTGATGAATTCAAAAATGTGAGAAGTGAGAAATAAAAGAACAAACACATGAAACAAATAGAAAACAAATAACCAAGAGTTAGACTTATCAGTAACTAGATTAAATTTATTTATTTATGTATTTTTAATTTTAACTTTAATTTTTATTATTAAATTTAAATGTTTCAAACACTAATGAACAACGAAGGCTGAATAAAACAACAAAACTTTACTATATGATGTTCACAAGAGACAAGCTTTAAATATAAGACAAAGAAAGTAAGAAAGAAAGCCTGTATAGCTATATTAATGTACAAAATAGATTTTAAGGCAAGAAGTATTATAAGAGGTAAAGAGAGACATTTCATTATGATAAAATAGTCAATTCAGCAGAAAGATAGAATAAACCAAAACTTTCATGTGTTTAATAACATGTTTAAAATACATAAAGTAAAGATTGCTAGAACAAAGAAGAAAGACAGGCAGATTCATAGTCATAGTTTGGTATTGTAATGGGTTGAATAACCACTGTCCTCCTTAAAAAATATCTATGTCCTAATCTCTGAAACCTGTGAAACGTGACCCAGTTTGGAGAGTCTTTGTAGATACAATCAAGTTAATGATCTTGAGTTGAGACCATCCTAGATTGCCACGGTCGCCTCTAAATCCATGCCCAGTGTCTTTACAGGAGACAGAAGAGCAAAGGAAACACACAGAGGAGAAGGCGACTTGAAGATGGAGGTCAAGAAGGAAATGATGCATCTGCAAGCCAAGGAACATCAAAGATTGCCAGCAGCCACTGGAAGGAAGTCTGGAGAGAGGCACAGAATAGCTTGCAGATGGAAGCAATCCTACTGACATCTTAACTGGATTTCTGGCCTCCAAAGTGTTAAGAGAGTAAATTTTTCTTCTTTGAAGCCACCAAGTTTGTAGTAATTTGTTACAGCAGCCCTGGGAAACTAATACAGATATTTTACACATGTCTCTCTATAACTGAACGAACAAGTGGAGGGGGAAAAAAAAGACTGTTCTAAACCACATTTTCCTAAATGACATTTCTAGAAAATGAAACAAAATAAATGTTCAGTCTTTTCAAGTGCATACATAAACTTTTACCAAAATGGTCCATATTCTGGGCCATAAACCTTGTCTCAAATGATTAAATTAATGAAAGAATGGTAACTAGAAGATCTCCAAATATTTAGAAGTTAAGCAATGCCCTTCTAAATAGCCTATGGGTCAAAGAAGACATCAGAAGGTAAATTAGAAAACTTTTATGTACAATGATAATAAATAAAGAAGAAAAGAGAGAAGAATCAAATCGATGCAATTAAAAATGATAAAGGGGATATCACCACCGACCCCACAGAAATACAAACTACCATCAGAGAATACTATAAACACCT